AATTGCTTTTTTTCCTTTGCTTTATTGAATATGATCGGATGATGCGATAGAGAAAAATAAAAGTTCTTCGTTAGGTGATCCACCTTTCTGAAGAATGTTAATTATTTATAATTTATTCATCTCTTCATTTTCTGATTCTATTCATCTTCGTCGAGTACTTTTGCACAAAAAAAAGTGTTAATATATGCTAAATTATAAAATAACAAGAATACTTTTTTTCTTATTTTGTATTGATTTTTACGGATAGTTTTTTAAGTTTACTTAATTCTCGATCATTTGTATAAGTATACGCACTAATAAATAAGTATACGCACTAATAAACTAATATTATTCTTAATTATCGAGTAAAAAAAAAGCCCCACATTGGAAAAAAAATCTATGATCAATTCTCTATTCATTGAATCATAGTCAAGAAAGAAAAATGAATGCATTATGTAGCGTAATTTTCTATTTGACTATTCTACTGGTGAATGTTCAAGGATCAGGTAAATAATTATTTTTTGCTGATGTAGATTATCTCACGAGAGAAGATCCTCATAGATGTTGAAGTCGTTTAGACTCCATATTTTTGTCACCAGTAAACCTTCACGAATTTATTTTCAAGATATGATTATTTTATTGGGTATCACTGCTCAGCTTTATATACTATTTGTTGAAATAAGATTTGATATATTTGGGTTTTATTTTATAAAGGTCTTTCGATTAATCAACCGAAATTTTGTTCAAATGCAACATGGAATCCTGACGCTATAACTCTTGCGAATAGTACCACCCTTGGCGTTTTCCCCCAAGGTCTCTTTGTCAATATTAACAACACTGTTTATGTGACTGCAACAAGCCGTAATACTATTTTCGTATGGTTAGAAGGAAATACGAATCCACAAACATATATTTCTTATGGTTTGGGTGGACCAACTGCTCTATTTGTCACTGCTAAGGGTACTGTTTATGTTTACAACAGTGCGAATAATGGTACCGTAGAGAAATGGGTACAAATTGGATCAGGTTTTAATCTTACTTCCATGTTTGTTAATGGTACTTGTTACAGTATTTTTGTCGACATCCAAAAGAATATTTATTGTTCTATGAGTGATGTTAACACAGTAATATTTTTCAATCACAGTGCAAATACAACAACTACTATCGCAGGTAATGGTACTGCCGGATCCGGACCGTATATGCTAAGGATTCCACGAGGAATCTTTGTTGATGTTGGTCTCAATTTGTACATAGCAGATTGCGGAAACAATAGAGTGCAATTACTACAACGAGGGTATACAAACATGACAACTGTCGTAGAATCTGGATCAAATGAAACAATTGTATTCGATTGTCCAACTAGTGTTGTAC